AAGATAATAACGGTGACTGAGATCAACAGGATGTTTCACGAGAGGGCCTTGTTTTGTCCTGAGCACGTGGTTGCGGATGCCCTGATCCCTAAGTCAGCTGGATCTTCTACCCCAGCAACATGTATTAGGATATTGGTGGATTCTCCACTTGTATGTTTGATCACAGAAGCTCATGCTAAGGTTATGTGTCAGGAGAATTGGAAGTTTGAGAAGATCATGGGTGAGAACACTCGTTTTGTGCAGGATAGTCAGGGACTATTGACCCGCTATGGTCGGGTCTGGGTACCGATGTCTGGTGGGGTGAGACAGACTGTTTTAGAGGAGGCTCATAAGTCTCTCATCTCTATTCACCCATGGGCTACCAAGATGTATTGGGACTTGCATTTAAGTTACTAGTGGCTAGACATGAAGATGGAGATTGCATGGTACGTTGAGAGTTGATTGAACTTCCAGATAGTTAAGGCCGAGCATAAGAGGCCGCATGGTCAGCTACAGCTCCTGGGGATTCCCATGTGGAGGTGGGAACAGATCACAATGGATTTCATCACCAAGTTGCTGAGGACGACGAGGAGCTTCGACGCTATTTGGGTCATCATGGATCGACTGACCAAGAGCACCCACTTTTTAGCGATACGGGAGAGTTCATCAGCCGAGAAGCTGGCCGAATTGTATATCTGCGAGATAGTTACCCACCATGGTTTATTGAATTTGGTGGAAGCTCAGTGTCCTACATACCCCTTGCAGATTTCTCCTATAACAACAACTTTCATTCCAATATTGGTGCCCCACCATATGAGTTGTTGTATGGACGGAGATGTCGCACCCCAGTCTGTTGGGTTGAGATCAGACACAAGGTGATGGGACGGGTAGAGGTAGTTCTGCAGACTACCGAGAGGATTCAGCAGATCAGGCAGTGGCTGCAGACCACTCAGAGTCGGCAAAAGAGTTACGCTGATAGACGCCGATATGAGCTGGAGTTTCAGGTGGGTGACACGGTACTCTTGAAGGTCTCACCCTTTAAAGATGTGATTCGCTTCAGGAAGAGGGGGAAATTGGGTCCCCGATACATTGGTCCATTCAAGATCGTTGCTAGGGTTGGCAAGGTGGCTTATCGACTGGATCTCCCGGAGGAGCTTAGTCAGGTCCACAACACTTTCCATATGTCACAATTACGGAAGCGTATAGCAGATGAGGGGGCAGTGGTATCATTAGACGATATTCAAGTTGACGAGCGCCTGAATTACGTGGAGAGGCCAATGGCCGTTCTAGAATGGAAGGTAAAGGTTCTACAGAACAAGGAAGCACCTATGGTAAAGGTACAGTGGGAGCACATGAGGAGATCCGGGTGGACATGGGAGACGGAGGCATAGATACGGGAGCACTACCCAGAATTGTTCGCCACAACACACTCCAAGCACGAAGTCTAGTTCAAGTGGGGGAGAATTGTAATACCCCGACTCCCAGGTATAAGTTTTAAAGCATTATGTACATGTTTATGGACCTACTCGACGAGTTACTTGCCCCAACTCGTCGTGTAGAGGCGGGTTAGCCCGCATGGATTATTGGACCTACTCGACGAGTCATCCAGTAAACCCCTCTAGGTAGTGATTTCACTGGATCTTCCTCGTTATGAAATCTGATCATGTGAAGAAAAAAAAGAGTAAAGTATTTTTATATTCCTTTATTGTATTATAAATTCTTTTTAGGTCATCTACATATTTCCATTTATTTATAATGTTTAATCCTTTTTCTTACTTGAGAGCAAGTAATGTTCAATCTTGGGGAGATTTGATAAATGTCATTTTATGCATATTTTAAGGTAGTTTTTATTAGCATTTTGAATCATTTTTATGCTTTTTCATGTGCATTAGCTTAAATAATGTTTAGCTCATGTATTTCGTAAGAATTCTCACTCATATTTTGGTTTCTATTTTCAAGTAATTTGAAGTGGAACGGGGGTTTAAAAGTCTTTGGAGCATATTTGGAGCACATATGGAGCTTATTTGGAGCAAAGACGCTAAAAAAACACCAAATACGGGCTATATCTCACCAAAAACGGGTTGTTCTTCACTTATGAAACATAACCGAATGATTTCTGATTTTTTAGGCATTTAAAAATTTCAGCCCTGAAGCTCGGGTTGTGCCTACCTCCAGATGCCTTTATTTTGGGTGTTATAACTTGCGAAGCCCAAGCACGGGTCGTGCTTATCCATCGAAGTCCAAATTTTTTGTTTTTCTGATTTTTTTTTTTTTGAAATCTCAATTACGATGACCTATCACGATCCGTGCCCCCCAAGCACGGGTCGTGCTTACTACTAGAACCCTTATTTTCTGCCCAGACTACTATATAAATACCAGATACCCTCTAAGTCGATTCCAAATGACAAAAACCCCTTCTGGAAGCGATTTTCTGCCCTTTTCATCACTTTCTAAAGATCTGAAGGTTGTGGATCATCTCTCACGTTTAGTTTTGTAAGATTTAGTAGTTTAATGTTTCTTTTTATTGTTCTAGATCAGATTTTAGTCATGTCTGGCTAAAACCCTAGTTTTCAATTCTACATACTAGTACCTTTCATATGATTAGTTTTCAGATCTATTTAGATTTTTCAGTTTTAAGCTTAATGAACGTTTGGTTTTAAATTCTTGTTAGTTTGATCACCTAGCTAGGGTTTTAACATTGCAATTAATCAGTTAATAGAATCCGTAATTGTTTTTGTCAACTGATAATAAGTAACAAGTATCAGATTGGTTCCGTGTTAGGGATTTAACTCTGATATAAACTGTAAAAATCATATATTTATGCTTCTGAGCTTGTGAGAAGTATTGGGTATTGCTGGGAATTTCACACAGATCATAAAGTTGCTTTTCTAATTTAATTAAGAGTTTGTTTAATTGAACAGTAAAAAGTTATGGTTATTTCAAAGAGCTTGTTTTTGGTTTTCTAATTAAGGTAAAAGAGATTATACAAAAGTTTGTTAGTTTTTTTCGGTACCAGCTTAGATATAACACATTCTGAATAACCAGATATGAACTAATTGTATGATTAGGAAAGTTGCATCAGAACTGAAATCGTTTTTATTACTGATTTTCGTTTACTTTATTTTCACTGCAAATTTAGTTTTTAGTTTAATTTAACAATTCCCTTTTTTATAATTTATGTTTTGATTAAAATGTGTCTGATGTAAAAAGGCATTGACCGTTAGGTTGTGTCTCTGATGATTTGACCTTGCTTCTATGTGTTATAGTTTTAGTACAACCAACAGTGATTATTTTATTTGTTTAATATGTCCACGACAATGTGTTAACAGTCATCGAGTCTATAATAACACCGTATCATAAACTCAACAATCCAACTCAAGACATTACCTTCGTTTTATAATCACGATATCATAAATCACGAATCGAATAACTAGATAACGAAACAAACGATTATACAATGCATATTTATCGATTTCTATATATCGGCATCAACACGCATTTTCATGGACTATACGTCATTTCTCAACTAACCAAAATTTCAACAAAATAACACGCAAGAAATGACAAGTGAAACTATTTATAGGTTGAAATGTCAGTGGACTCATCGCGCCTAATGATATGAGGCATTTTCGGTGGATTCACTATTTGTTGTGAAGTTTTTTATTTTTATTTTTTCCTTTTTTAGATTATTGGCGAATCATTTTCATCGTAACAAATGACAAGTGAAATTATTTATAGGTTGAAATGACAGCGGAATCGTCGCGCTTTAGACTGGAGGGTGTGGGTAGGGGTGTTCGTTTGGATGAATCGGTTCGATCTGATCCAATTAAGTAAATCCAAATTAATTTCGGTTTTCAAAATATGGATCTGAATTATCCAAACTAAATTCAAATCCAATCTGATTCAATCCAATTACAATTCGGTTGGATCGGTTTTTAGAATTCGGTTTTCAAAAGGCGTAACATTTTAAAACGATATATAATTATAATATTATCCAATTTTTATAGAAGAAGCAAAAACAAATTATTTAGTTGTAATTTATAATTTATAAACAACTACTAAGAATATATATTACAATTTAATATTTAATAGATAAAACACTGAGAGAAAATGCATATTAATTTTTTTTATTAGGTGAAACTTTTTGAACTTTTTTGAAAAAAACAATTTATAAAACTAATAAATAATTATAGATATATTAAAAATAAATAAATAGTAAATTGTTATTCGGTTTTTGTGGACTATTCGGTTCTTATTTTATAAATCAAAACCAATCCGAAATCCAAAATAATAATTCGGTTTTGGCGAAATTCAATCCAAAAATCTGAATATCCGAACTAAATAGTTAAATCTAAATTGTCCAATGAAGATATGAAAAGATTTTTTTTTCTAATTTTTTGTTTTTTTTAATTTATTGACGGAACTTTTTCCACCGCTTTGATATCATAATAAAATCTGATATAAACTTCAATATATTAGACATTCGGAAAGATACAGAGGGGATGAAGATTAAATACCTACAAAGGCTTAAATAATTGCTAAAAAGGAATCAATGATAGACTTTTGCATTAATAGAGTATTTTTTATATATAAAGAATTATAAATAATTGTATTGCAGATTTCTTAATTTTTTTCATTTAAATAATCAAAAAAAATTGAATCACAATAGTCTATTATTTTAATTATTTATTTTAATAATAAAAAAAATCATTTAAATAATAATAAAAAATTGAATCTCCACGTTCCTTGCAAGTAAATAAAATTTTAATGTATTATTTTTTAAATTATTATATTGGTACTAGCGTGTTCCTCGTGACTATTTATTTGTGTTAGGGAAGTAGGGAATTACTTTTTCTTTTCTTTTTCCAAATTGTAAGTCTTATTCAAAACGCTACCGTTTTAGGCTTTTAGCAGCCTTGTACGTCCCTTATCAGAGATGCTGAATATTTTTATATCTCATTCTCATCCATGGATCTCCATTTTTACATGCTTTTGCTCTCTCTGAAACTCAAATTTCAATAATGGCCGGCGCACGTCTTTCTCTCACCGGAACAAATCTAAGCCGTCCATTTACCTCGCCTACACCGTCGGCTTACCTTAGACCTACGATAATCTCCGGTGTTGCCCAAAACCTATCGTACTGGGATTCCATACATTCCGATATCGACTCCCACCTGAAAAAAGCCATCCCCATCCGTGAGCCCATTTCCGTTTTCGAGCCGATGCACCACTTGACATTTGCGGCACCCAAAACCACCGCATCTGCGTTGTGCGTCGCCGCGTGTGAGCTTGTCGGTGGCAACCATGAAGATGCAATTGTAGCAGCGTCGGCAATTCACCTCATGCATGCTGCTATATACACCCATGATCATCTCATGTTAACAAACAGTCTCCAGTCCGATTCAGAGACAGAACCCAAAATTTCGCACAAATTTGGCCCCAATGTCGAGCTTCTCACCGGAGATGGGATTCTGCCGTTTGGGTTCGAGTTACTTGCAGGGTCCATGGATCCGGCCGGTGATAACTCCGACGATATTCTGAAAGTGATCATAGAGATTACACGAGCCGTCGGTTCACAAGGGATGGTCACCGGTCAAGATTCCGACGGTGAATTTGACCAATTGATTGGTCAAACACGACGCTGTCTCCATGGATGTGGGGCCGCCTGCGGAGCCATATTAGGTGGTGGGAGCCACGATGAGATTGAAAAGTTGAGAAGATACGGATCCATTGCAGGTAAAATACAAGGACTGTTAAGTGAAATGGATAGAAATGAAGGGGGTAAAGGGCAATTAGCAGAGAAATGGAGAGCTTTAGCTCTAAAGGAGTTGGAATATTTTGATAGCAAAAGAATTGAGCAAATTTCCACACTTGTGAGAGCGTAAATTTTATGTATTGGCTATATCATGTTAATATGTACGTTTAATATCTCTAAGTGGGGAAAAATCAAAATGGAGTTTGTATGTTAAAAACCGTTGTTTATATAGTTCTAATATTTTATACATAAAATATAGCATTTAACTAAGTTGAGTCTTTAGGGGCTTGGATATCCCTTCTATTACATGTCCGTTTTGTATGTTTTTAAATACAAAACATAATATCTCATGTTTGTAAGTCGGGAAAAATCAAAATAAAGTTTGTATATAAAAAACCATTCGATTCATGCATTATCAAAGAAAACGATACAAGGAGCGTGGAAAAACATCGTCAAGGCAAAAGACCATCTCGAAAAAAATGGGGATTGTCCCTACTAACTTTTTGTATGTGGTTGTAGGTAATGGAGTTAAAGACGAATCTTTGGAATGAGACATGGATTGAAAATTCTTCATTGGTCGATAGATTCCTGCATTTATATAGATTAGAAAAAAAAATGAAAATTGTTGATAGAAGAGACAAAAATGGATATGTGGCCGGACGGAAGAGAACCCCCTCCTCCGCTAATGAGTTGGCTGAACTAAACCAACTCCATGATATGATTAGCGCATACTAAGGGAGTGCGCGGTGCGGTTTAGAGTCAAAACTGCAAATCGCACCGCATATGCAGTTTGAGATTTTTGGAAACCGCAAACCGCACCGTTAAGGTTCTAACCCGCATTATGCGGTGCGATTTCGTTCGGTTTAGTGAATAACAAATAAGTTATTGTATATTTAAGTTTTATACGCATTAGTATGTAACTATGATTAAATGATTTTTTATCATATAACAAATAACGAGTTGTATATAACCGTGGTAAACGATTGTTTTAATATCCCTAACATCGTTACTAATTTGATATATACTAGCGCTACTTTTCCCACCAATTTTAATATCCTATTGTGAAAATGAAAGTTATCTGTCCGCTAAATCCAATATAGAGTTTGCACTTAGTTAGATATATTTTTCCATGATAAATTTAATTTTATTCTTCCAAAATATTGATTTAATATAATCAATATAGTTTGATAACTAATTTGTCAATTATCTTTATAAATAGATAAAAATGGGTTAGAATTTGTTATAAACCGAAACAATGTTTGTATATTGTCCCATTGTTTACCGACCAATTTGCTATTTTGAACTAGTTAGAATTTGTTGTACATAATAACTTAATAATGTTTTTTATAATTAATAATAATAGACATGTATCTAATCTTATATATATATATATATATAAAATACGGTACGGTTTGAACGTCGTTTGCATAACCATAAACCACAAACCGCACCACATATTGCGGTTTACAAAAACTAAAAACCACAAACCGCACCGTGAACATTGAAAATCGCATTATGTAGTGCGGTGTGGGCGATTTATGCGGTTTATGCACACCCCTATAGTAAATTTAGTTACCAAATTTTTATCTATAGTAGAACTAAATTGAATGAGAGAACCAATAAGCTTTTTTTTATATATAGTAAATTTAGTTACCAAATTTCATATGTTTATATACTTATAATTGCATATATATATATATATATATATATATATATATATATATATATATATATATATATATATATATATATATATATATATATATATATATATATATATATATATATATATATGCACTTTTTTTTGAAAATATATATTTAAAATATGAATATGCATTAAAAATATATTTTTTTGAAAAATTCTTTTTTTTAAATCTTAATTTCGAAATATAATGTATGTATTCACTTATTTTGAAAAAACAATATTTTTATTTATTTATTTATTATTATTTTTAATCAACAAATATACTTCTTACATTTCGAAATTAATATTTGAAAAATGAATTTAAAAAAAATGTAATGTGTGTGTGTATATATATATATATATATATATATATATATATATATATATATATATATATATATATATAGGTTTAGGTTTTATGGAAAATAAAAAACCCTAAAAAAACCCCTAAAAATCATAAAAATGCATAAAAAAAATACTTAGAGATCACAAGACTTTTTTTTGAATTTTTTTTATAAAAAATCGCAACTTTTTATAAAAATTCGCTGAAAAAAAAATTAAAAAATAATTTATATTTTTTTTAATAAAAAAAAATTCAAATTTTTTTTTCAGCGATTTTCTTTAAAAATTTTCTTAAAAAATGTCAAAAGAAAGTTTTGTGATCTCTAGGTATTTTTTTATGCATTTTTATGATTTTTAGGGTTTTTTTGTTTTCCAAATAACCTTTCCCTATATATATATATATATATATATATATATATATATATATATATATATATATATATATATATATATATATATTATGTATATGCATATATTTAAAAACATATGCATATGCATATCTTTAAAAAACATTTTTAATGCTCTTACATATATGCATAAGAACAAGTATATACATATAAATATGAATAAATATGTGCATATGAATATACATATACATATGCATGTACATATACATATGCATATGAATAAATATATACATATGACAATTAAATACATATGATTATGCTAATGTATATGCATATGCATATAAATAAGTAGATGCATATGCATAATAATAAGTATATGAATATGTATATAAATAAGTATATACATATGCATATAAATAAGTATCTGCATATGCATAATAATAATTATATACACATGCATATATGCACATACTTATTCATATGCATATGAATATGTATATAAATATACATATGCATAAGAATAACTATATGACATATGTATATCATATGTATATGTATATTAATGAGATATGGTCCATTGGCATGGCCTAGACTGATCTAGCGCGCCAGCCTGGCCTGGCGCGGTCCTGCCAACCCTGTCTGGCGTTCCCTTGCTAGCATTGCCTGGCGCTCCCTAGCCAGCCCTACTGGGGACTTTCTTGTCGGCCCGGCCAGGCGCTCCCTCGCCTAGCACTCCCTTGTCATCCCTTACTAGTGCGCACCCGCTAGCCCTACCTGGGGCACGCCCGCCAGCCCCGCCCGACGCCTCCGGGCGGCCTTGCCCAGCTCCTTGTTAGTTGGGCTCGAATTGGGCTGGCCCAAGGCCTGACCTAATTCCCCTTGACCTAATTACTCCTATATAATGAATAGTGTAACATCCGGATTTCCAGGCATGTTAATTTGATTATTTCTTTTGAAGTCATGAGGAGGGACTCGACGAGTCGATGCCTAGACTCATCGAGTAAGATCGCGATTGGTTGACTGGATTAATGAAGGGACTCGATGAGTCGATGGGTGGACTCGACAAGTCTGCGTTGTTATGTGAAACCCTAAATCTCAAGGCCTGAGCCCTATTTAAGGGCCCTTATGGTTGTCATTTGCGGCCACTTCACCCCTAAGAAACCCTAGAGGGCAGAGAGATCGTTTGTGGAGCAAGAGGAAGGCTAATTCATCATTTCTTGAGTGATTTAGCAATAGAGAAGGAAGGAGGGCATGCTAGGAGGATTAAGAAGCTTAGATCTACTATCATTTGGTCATGTGGAGTTGATAGAGGTACCAATACGTGCTTAATCTCATGTAATTGTTAATTACCTTGAATCTAGGGTTTTCTCAACCCCCTTTATTTGCTTGTAATGATATATAAGTTATCCCTTTGGGTGTTAGACTCTGGATCTGGACCTTTAGAGGTCCAGAGAGCATTATCAATCATGCTTTATGTTATTCCATGGCGGAAATGAACCTAGAATGCCATTTTATAAACTATTTCATCAAATAGAGTCATATGGACGTTGCATGAGTGTCAAGGTTCGGACTTTACGTGTTTATTGAGCTTGGGAAGGACAGATCTATGGATTAGAGGAACAAATCTGACCTCAGAAGGTCATTTTTGTTTGAGTATGGAATGGACTCGCCGAGTCCATAAGTAGACTCGACGAGTCGGATCGGGTTGATCTGTGACTCATAACAATTGGTGACTAGCCGAGTTGGGTGAGTGACTCGGTAAGTCAGATCGGATTTAAGGAATTGGAGTTCATGTCTGAACTCACCGAGTTGGTGCATGACTCGACGAGTTGGGTCAAGAGTTGACCGTTGACCAGCATTGACCAGAGTTGACTTATGTTGATTTAAGGGTATTAGTCAAACCAAGTCAGGGAAGTAATAATTAGAGATGTATTTATGTTATAGGAGGAAGCGAGGTCGGAAGATTGAGCATGAGTGTTTATCCGACATTTTCGAGGTGAGTCTTCTCACTATGCCTTACCCGATGGGGTAATTATGTGTGACCGGAAGGTCTTATGTGTATGATGAATATGTGATGCATGTTGTATATGTGATATGTTATGATATGATTATGATGATGTGGACCGGAAGGTCAGGATGATATGGACCGGGAGGTCAACAGAGTATGGACCGGAAGGTCAACAGAGTTATGGGATGGAAATCCCCTGAGACACTTGGATCGGAAGATCCTATAGAGTTATGGCCTGGAAAGGCGTATGTGCAGTATGTGGTATTTTGGGGAACTCACTAAGCATTTATGCTTACAGTGTTTGTGTATGTGTTTCAGGTACCAGTGATGATCGTGGGAAGGTGTCAGCATGATTCGTACACACTTATGAAGTTTATGTTATGAGATCTTGGGAAATGCTTTTGATGTAATAACAGTGACACATCATGTTTTGTATTACTTATTGATAAAAAGTATGTTTTAAAAATGAAAAATTGTTTTTAGATTTCACGGTGTTACAAGTTGGTATCAGAGCCTTGGTTTGAGGGATTCGGATGTACCTTCAGGCGTATCTGAACTCAAACTGAGGATTTGAGAAAGTTTTTCATAAAAAAGAACAATTTTTCTAAAAGAGTAAAGACTTTGAGAAAAGAAGAAAGGAGCAGTGTGTACGACCAGCCAACGCCCGAACGGTGATTTCCCTAAATACCCTTACATTATGTATTATGAGATATGATATGATATGCTATGCATGATAGTAGGCTAGGTATTCATATTAGGACTAGAGTGGCCTGATTTGTGATGCCTTAGCCTAGGAGATTTCTACTGTTATGCGATGCTTCGAGAGTGAGTAAGCTATGAGGAGCTTAGGAGAGGTCTACTGAAGGGTAGCCTATGTTTAGTAAGGTGTAGGGCACTTGTGAGCTGGGATCCTAGGAGGAGAACTTGGAATGAATATTGATGCGGTGTGAAAGGTAGTATAGGGCCCATACTACTGGACACACCAGATCAATGGGCAGTCCAAGTAAGAATCCTTACGATACCAAGGAACAAGTAGGGTTGGGTGGTCGAGTGCGAGTATACTTGATTGAGTCTTTGGTATCTTTGTGTTGTGTTTCAGAGGCATCGTGGTTGGTACACCACACACCGGAGAGCAGCGGTGTTAGCGATGATGAGATTCACCGTATGATT